TAATACCATCATCTTCAACTTCGGCACCTGTGGAAGAATTAATGACCCTGTGATGAAAATCAGTTCTTTTTTTTTTCTTTTGTATTTTTGTTCATATACATATTTTTTATAAACTTGGAGGCCAAAAAAAAAAGAAAAAACACAGAGCGCCATATATCTATCTATCAATCTATCTTTTTTTTTTGATATTTTTTTTCTTGTTGTTATTTGAAGATGTATTCAGTTCGACGTGATCTTAACAATTCATATTATTATTCACAATATTGGACAATGAATTGTCAACAACAACATGAACAATTCATATTTAATAATCGTCAAACGATTAAAGCAAAACAACATTATTTTTGGTCAACAAAGTTTTATAATAATAAAGATTGTTATATTCAATATCAAACATTAAATAATAATTGTATTAAATCTAATGATTTATCAAATAGTACTGATTTATCATTACCTATTTATCGTGCACCATGCACATTTCAAAATTCATTAATAATAGCTAGTAAAGGTAAACATTTCTAAGAATAATAATCTATTCAATACTTTCGTATCGATTCGGTTTGAAATTTTGAGAAATCAAAATTGTTACTTATACATAACAAAAAGTGTTTGAGGTCAAGTAATTTATTAGAAAATGCTCGGTGCTTCATAATTCAGTTTAGTCGATATTTGAAATTCAAATATATTAATCATCGTGATCGAGTTTGTTGAATAGTTAGATTTACAGAGAAGCAATCTTATCAAAAATATGATAAAACGCTTCTCTTTTCTTGGCCTACATTTTACCGTATCTCGAGAGAAAAGAGACAAAGACATGAACGCTTTTGTGGTTTTCGTAGTCTGCCTGAAACCTACTTATAGTCAAAAGCTCTTAACCATTTGAGCACGGTGGAACGTATATTGATTCTCCTGTTATCCAGTAAACAAAATGTTTGTTCTTTTTTTAATTATTATGACCTGTAAAGTGATTGGTCGTCCAATCTGTCATCTCATGCATATCTTTCTTATCTTTCTTCCTGTCATATAGGTTCCTCTCAGATTTTCTCCTTTCTTGCTGTTACTATATATTGACGTCATGATATTTCTCTCTTCTTTTAATGTATTATCATAAGGTTTTCATATGATCATTTTGAGTCAAACACAATAAACTGATTGAAAAAACACTCCTTAATTGGACAAGAAATTTCACCTTCAAAGGGCTAAATAGTTGAGAAACCTCTCTCGTGGGTTTAACCCTTTATAGCTACAACAATAATTTTACAAGAGCCACTGATTAAATTACTTTGTAAGTAGAGCAGTCACTTTTCTAATATGCCAATGGTATAGTCAGATCTATCAGGTGTCGTGTTATTAGTCTAAAATGATTTCAGTTACTCGAGTAACCATGCGATAAAAGAAAAGAAAGATGGAATAGCATTAGAAACCCTGATCTTTTCTTTATCTCTCATGAAAGCATTGAGTAGGTACAAGCAACTTACATGCCATGGTATTGGATTAATAAAAAAAGGAAGGAGTGCATACATAAATGTATTTTTCAATGATCAGGATAATCACTGAAAAAAATTTTATTCGTGTTAAATTTTATTTTCAACTTTTTATATGATGAGGTTTACAAATATATATGCATTAACTCTGTTCTTATTTGTCCTCGGTCTACCCAATAGTGACAATACATAAACAATGTTGAGGCCTATTGTTTGTAGTTCGTCAAGAACTTTCGAAACTTATATTAATTATTAGTAGGTTTGAAATGTATGAGCAATCATGGAAGCACCACAAGGTTCGAGTACTTCTAAACATTGTTGACTTTGTTTAGTATGATTGTAAGCCTTCATTTTGTTTTTGGATTATGTATTCCACTGTGTGCAGATTTATCATTGCCAAGCATGAGATCCTTTCTTTTTGTTTACCTCTACTTCCTTTTATCTATTGACTGTAAATTCTCGCACCCGAACATTTGGATTCAGTGCATGCCTATTCACTATATAAACATGTTGTAAAACTTTGGAAGTCTATGCATCGTTTAATTTTTATAATCAATCTACACATGATCACTTCAGTGATACCAGGAATAGATAAAAGATTAACTAGCATAATTCATGCCGATATCGTATTGACTGAATACTCAGTAGTGATATTAATAATAATATTTAATCTTAAATCAAAATAAATATTTAGATGATCATTCATATCGTGTATATCGTCGTTCACCTTTGTCATCATCTTCATCTTCATGTGTACCTGATGTATATTCACCAGGTTTAACATCAAGTGGAAACTGTTCACCACCTCCGCCATCATCAAACTTACCACCACCACCATCTGAATGGCTCAATTAAAAATAAATAATCTTTATTCATTTATCAAACAATTCTGTCTGATATATCGTTAATATTTTTCTTCATTTTGTCATATTTATTTAAACAAAGAATGCTTATGTCAGAAAAAAAAGAATTATGGCTTATGATCAAATATGAAACAAAGGCAGATTTTTTTTCTATTTTGGCAAAAAATTAAGAACCGTTTGTATGTTTCTTGTTTCTTGTCTCTATCGAATCTATGATTGCATGTTATTATTATTTCATTCTTTTGTGAGTTTCGAATTCTTTATTTTTTTTTTCTGTTTCGTTTCTCACCTATATTTTTTTGTGTCTTTTTTAGTTTTGTTTTAAAGATTGTTTTGATATTTATCTATGTTACCTATCTAAAGTGATGTCATACATCTTTATATGTTTAAGCTTACTTGTGTATGTTTATCTATTTGAAAAAGTTTTTCTGTGCAAAACCATAACATATTTATGATCACAAAAAAATTAAGAGAATGATGATGATAATGAATATGTTTATTTTTTTTTAAATGAGAAAGGATGAACTATCACAAAATCTAAGTAGTATAAATACATGCATGAGTATTTTCACCATGACTTACATATTCATAGAAAACTACTATTTTTTTGTCAAAAGAAAAAACTTAGCTTAAACATTGTATTAGTCATTAAGGATTTTTTTATCTTTAAAGAAAAAACTTTAATATATATATCCATATATCCGGGTCTGATTTGTAGATATTCTAATATTTGATCTATAAAACAATGCAGTAATGACTTCTATACTTCAAAAGCTTTTTCCTCGACAGACTTTGTCAACCACAATAACATGGTTTCGTTCACTTTCACTTACACCAGTATATCATGGTAAGCCACCATCTGAAGTTTTTCGTGGTAGTAATTGGCAATCAGCTGATACAATTCGAACCGATGATCATTCTACTTCATTTGGTATACCCGATGATTGGGATAAATATAATCGTATTGTTTATCCACCGAAAGCACCTGGAGAAGAACCACAAAAAGGAGTAAATATCAAAAGAGTATCTTTTTTTTTGTTCATATAATTGTCCGATTTTTACTTTTGTAGTATGTTCATCATTGTCGAACGTACATTCGAGGAAATATTAAGAAATATTGGTTTCTCGCACAAATGGTAAGACTATTTTTAAAAAGATGCGAAGATAAATCTAATATATAAGGCGGTGCTCAATCTGATCTTATACCTCAGTTCTGTTTTTGTACATATAGCTTCTATAATATATCAGAAAAATATGACTTTTTTTTTATCAGTTATGGTATTGGTATAATTGATCAAAAAAATCACACTTCTCTAATATATTATGGAAGCTATATGTACAAGAACAGAAATGAGGTATCCGATCAGACTAGACATCCCCATATTAATATAATATTGTTTTGAAGGTACGTGGTATGAGTATTGATGAAGCTATTAAACAATTATCTTTCCATAAATTACCAACAGCAATTCAAATGCGTGATGTAAGAAAAAAAAAACAGATTGATTATTAGTTTTATTTCTTTGTTTTCTTTATAGACACTTATCGAAGCTCAACAAATGGCTGTTAAAGAACATAATATCGAATATAAATCTAATTTATGGGTGTGTAAGTATCGTAAGCAAGAACAAAAACCAAAGGATTCTAAATCATATTTGTAACATAAGATATTTTCAGCACTAATTTAGTGTTTTAATAAAAACTCTAAAAAGAATTGGATTCCTATCGGCATTTGACTAAGCTAGCGAATTTTTAATATCTCTATTTTTACAGGCTCTGGACTTTTGTAAAATTCGTATTTTCAAATTTTGATCTGTCATTTGGCATATATAGAGAACTCAACTAGACAAGCTTACATTTAAAAAAATCAGAAGTTTTGAACAAAGTCTCTTCGAGATATGAAGCTTTCAAAGAATGCATGTTATATTCACTATCTGTGAAAAACAGTTTATATCTTGAAAGTCTCATATGTCAAAGAGACTTTGTTTAAGACTTGTGATTTTTTGTTTGTGTAAGCTAGTCTAGTTGAGTTCTCTATATGCACAAGGTTTCAAATCAAAATTCGAAAATACAAGTCTTCCGCAAACCTGGGTTTTCTAGAGAAAAAAACTCAATAGATTAGTCAAATCTCGATAGAAACTAAAATCTTGTTAGGATTTTTATTAGAACTCTATGTGTTATGTATAGGAAAAAATTATTGAAATAGGAATGGAGTATCTAAAGATGATCCTTCATAAGTTATCGATCAAAGATTACAACCTGTCCTAGAGATATTTATTTCGTTTGTGTACTAATATTTTTTTTCTTTCTTACAGCTCAATCATATACAAAACGAGCTTTAATCGTTAAAGGATTACGTCGACGACCGAAATATAGTTTTACTGCCATACATTATCGTTATTTTCATTATATGGTTCGTCTTGAAGAAGGTCCTGCACCTGATAAAGAAGGTCTCTATGGACCTAAATGGCCTGAATTAAATGATCGTCTTAATAAACGATTAGACCATTTGAATAATCGGAATTTATTAGGCACTCTAGCATAAGAATTGTTTGTTTTTTCTTTTCTTTTGTTAATATATAAGTTCCCATTAGGACAGATAAAAAAAAAATTGTGTTTTTCTTTTTATCTTAGATGAATCTTTGTTTTAAAAATGATATTTCATCGTTTAACGCTTCTTTCATCTTTTATTAATCGCTCATCAAATTTTCTAATTCATTCTCAGCAAAATCGATTGTTTAAATTAAATCCTAATCGCCAATTTTCATTGACATCAATTCGTCCGCAACGTGGTGATCGTCCTCAACTATTAACTAATAATGCTGTAAAAAGACCTAAAGTAAAATTAACATTAAATGATCTTGGTAAACTTTTTCGTTTAGCACAACATGAAAAAGGTCGTATTAGTTGTGCTATTGTGCTCTTACTTATATCCAGTAGTGTTACTATGTCTGTACCATATATTCTTGGAAAAATCATTGATATGTTACAAACATATAAACATGATGAACTTCGTCGGCGTTTAAAACAAACGACATTTTTTCTCATTGGAGTGTTTGGCATAGGGGCAATAGCTAATTTCGGCCGTGTTTATTTGATTTTAACAACATCACAACGCATTATAAAACGTGTACGTGAACAATTATTTAATGGTATACTTCGCAAAAAAATCGCTTTTTTTGATAAACAAAAAACAGGTGAATTAGTTAATCGTTTATCATCGGATACAGAAGTTATGTCAAATGCTGTAACACAAAATATATCCGATGGTCTTCGAGCATTAACACAATCAATTGCTGGTGTTGGTTTAATGCTTTATATAAGTCCACAATTAGCATTAGTTGGTTTAACGACTGTACCACCAGTAGCTGTTGGTGCAATTCTTTTTGGAAGATTTATTAAACGATTATCAACTAAAGTACAAGATGCACTTGCAAGAGCAACCGATGTCGCAGAAGAACGTTTTTCAAACATAAGAACGGGTTTGTTGAATGAGCTACTAAAGAAACTATCATTGTTTTTTTGCATATTCAATTTTAGTTAAATCATTTTCAAAAGAAGAACAAGAAATACAATTATATAATCAACGAATTAGCAATGTATTAAAATTAAAATATAAAGAATCATTAGCTTATGGACTTTTTTATGGTATGACTGGCTTATCGGGAAATATTATTGTATTAAGTGTTTTTTATTTTGGTGGTGTTTCAATGAGCGAAGAAGCATTAACTATTGGAGATTTATCAAGTTTTTTATTATATGCATTTTACGTTAGTTTATAAATTTATTGTAATTAAGGTTTTGTGAAACACGATCTAAAAGAAATAGTGAAGTATAGGGATTAAGATTTAGATCTCTTACAGACTGTGGAAGACGTTTTCTATAGGTCATCACAAATTATAACAGATGTGGTTGATTTACGATCATGGACCCGTATATCAATAAGGTCTCGTTCTAGTATTTGAACTAATTCATTATTGTATTTCTAAAGTGTTAAGTAAAACGATGATGAAGAAATGTGTCCTAGTATAGATAGAATAAAGCAAGCTCCTTACGTTTGAAATGAACAGCTTCATCGTGTTTCACAATTTCATCTTACAAAGATTGCGTCAATCGTTTTTTTTTCTGTCAAAAAATTCTTCTAGGTTGGTGTATCTATATCTGGTATATTCTCTTTTCATCTTGAATTAATGAAAGGTGTTGGAGCAAGGTAAATAATCAAAATTTTTGAATCTTAAACATTTTATGTTTTTTTTTTCAAGTCAAGCGGTATGGTCAATCTTGAATGAAGAACATAATGAGAAAATGATGCTTTCAAGTCAAACTCAACATACAATACATGGAGAACCATTAACACCAGCATTAATGCTTCGTGATATAACATTTGATTCAATATCATTTCGTTATCCAACTCGTCGGGATGCACTTGTTCTTGACAATTTAACACTTCGTGTACCTGGTGGACGAGTACTAGCTATATGTGGTAGTTCAGGTTCAGGAAAATCAACATTAGCTCAATTATTACTTCGTTTTTATGAACCACAATCAGGACAAATCTCTATTGGAAAAATTCCTATTAATGATATGCCACTTCATTGGTTACGCTCAAATATTGGTACTGTACCACAAGAACCTGTTCTATTTTCATCATCAATTTATGAGAATATTGCCTATGGATATCCAACTGTAGTAGAACATGTTCCAGAAACTGTTCTTAAAAATAAAGTTATGCAAGCTGCTGATACAGCAAATGCAAGTGGATTTATTGAACAATTACCTGAGAAATATGATACGAAAGTTGGCGAACGAGGAACAATGCTTTCTGGTAATAGATGATTTTTTTTTATATTGACGATAAATTTTATTAAATGAATTTTTTTATTGTTTTAATTAGGTGGACAAAAACAACGTGTTGCATTAAGTCGAGCCATTTTACGTGATCCAAGTATTCTTGTTCTCGTATGTACTTTTCATATAATACTCTCTAATATTATAAATATATTCAAAGGATGAAGCAACATCGGCACTTGACGCTCAATCGGAATATTTAGTTCAAGAAGCTCTTGAAAAAATCATGGTCAATAGAACTGTTATTATAATAGCACATCGTTTATCAACAATAATCAAAGCGGATCAAATAGCTGTACTTGATAAAGGACGTATCAGTGAACAAGGCACATATACGGAATTGATGAATATTGAAAATGGATTATTTCGAAATTTGGTTGCTACACAAACCATGGTTGATGTAGACGTAGTGGAATAAAATTATTTAAAATTTTTTTTTTTTTTGTTTGTCACCCTTTGTTTTCTCAGTACACAATATCACTTTAGGTTTCTTTTTCCTTTCAGATTTATTGTTCTTTGTTTATCATGTCGGCAACATCAGAAGTAAATATAGATAAATTAGAGAATTTAATTAAAATTTTTCTTCGAATTTATAATAGATTGGTGGTGATAAACAAACAGTTGAAGCATCACTTAATGTTATACATAATCGTTTAAAATGTTATACCAACGATCAAATAACTATACTTGATGATATGATGTAATTATTTTTTTTTTTCGTCGAAAAAATTCATTAATGAAGATAATTGATCTTTTTTTTAAATTTTAGGTCAACAATTGAATCATTTTATAAAACGGAAAAACATACACATGAGGTAATCATATTTTACATGGAAATTGAGTATTCTTGTTGTTGTTTTGTTTTTTATTTGAGTTTTTCATCTGTAATTAACATATCTTATTATTATAGAGAATGCAAGGTAGCTTACAAAAATCACTTGAACATGCACAAAGCATGTCCTATCTCGGATCAAGGTATTCCGAAAGAGAGAACACAAAACAATCATTGTTCTTTGCTCTGTTTCTTCTTTGTAATTTATTATTTAAGAATGTAGTCGATTGCTTTGCTTTCACATTAGAATTTAATTAATGAATCTTTTTTTAGTTAACCCTTTTTATATTTTTTAGTATTATTGGTACAGCTTGGACAACAGCAGTAAAAGAATTAATTGAACATTATTCTCAACGTGAAGCATCATATCCTGTACTTAGACAAGTTATATTAGAAAATTTAAAAAGAATAAAAAATGAAAAAGTTGATGAACATCATAAAGTAGAAATATTTGTTTATTTTCTTTTTTATTAAATCTTTTCTATTTATTAAAAAAGGTTTTACTCTATGATGAAGAAATCATAAGAGAAATGGTTGATATTGAACGTCGTGCAATAAAAACAAAACGTGCATATGATGATGCATGTGAACGTTTACGACAACATCATAATTCAGCTAAAGAAAAAGAAAGTGGTATTAAACGATTTCAAAATAAAATTTTACCAAAAGTAAAAATTCAATTTTTTGTTTAATCATTAATAAAACAAAAAGAAAAGGAAATTTATTTTTAGAATGAATTAGATAGACTTGAAACTTCTGTTGTTGATACACGAAATATGTATATTTTACATGTCCAACAAATAAATTATGCATTAAAATTTTATATAGAACAATTTATTGTTGATTTAGATAAAGTATAAATTAATTTGATTAATGCATTTGATTTTTAAATTATTTTATTTAGTTACTTATGTGTGACCTTTTTCCACAAATTGAACAAGTACTTGATGATCTAGTTTATAGTGAATATAAACGTCTTCGTGACACACTTCAACGTGCAATACATGCAGCTGTTGAAGTAATAATTTAAATTTAGAATATATTAATAAAATAATCATGAGTTTTTTTTTATCATATAGGATGGTGATGAACAAAAACGACGTTTATTACCTAAAACATTCCAGAATTATCCATTAACTGTTTTACCTCATCAAGTAAAAATAGAAGATTTTTACTTGTTTATTGTTAAGTGTTTTTTTTTTAATTTATTGTTTAAGAGTGATCAGATTAATACTGAGGATAAATATCAAGGACAATTGGCATCATGTTACACATCAGCAGTAAATGATTTACGTGATGCTGATCAACAAATTCAATTAGCATTAGAAAGTTCAGTACTTAGTTCACAACAGAATAAAGTATATACAAAGATATTTTCGAACGGATGATGCAAAAGTTCCATATTGATTTTGTTTTCAATATAGCGTAACAACAACTTAATGTGGAAACTCGATAGTTATCTTATTAGAAAGTGCAAAGCTGAGTAAAAATATTTCATTCAAAATAATGATCGAAGATGGAAAAGTTCTTTGTACGTTTCTGGAATTTTGAAGAAAACTTTCATTCATTAAGAAAGTTAGTTCTATAATTCCGTCTTGCATCAGACTTTATAGCACGATGATAGGACATTTGTGAACATGTAAAAAAAACCATAAAATGCTTAAAAATTTCGAAATCCAAGTACAAGACAAATCGATCAAAGGCATTTCTCTAGTCAAACATGTTCTTAATCCTAATACGACCGTCTGGACTTCAAACGGTTTCATCACACTGTTATAAGTATATAATTTATAATGCGACGGCTCATCTTCCGAATATGTTCTAATGAAGACTAATAGAGTCTGCAGATAATATCTACCAGTTAAGTCCAATTATTATTTATGTGCGTAGATCATTCCGAAATACATATAAGCGCTCGTTGACTATCTGATGTTCACTCGGATGCCCATGAGATTCATTGTCATATTGTGCATTCATAAGATTTAATCGAATCATATCCTATAATGTAAATGCTGTGAACACGTAGTACAGTCTGTTGACAACATCAGTCAATTATATCCAATTGTTTTTCTTACATAGAACAGTTCAAAGTATATGTGAATACTGATAAATGATTTCAAATGTCTTGAAAAATAGAGAAATACATGACAATGAAAATAGATATAGTTCAAAGTAACTACTTTTCCATTTGTTCTTCTTGAGATCAAGTCTTCACATATTCATGTTAAACTAATAATAATCTTTTGTATTATATTTATTTTATCCCTTGATATTCGCACAGGTTTCATGTAGACAACAATTGGTAATCTTAAAGGTAGTTGTTTTAGGATTAAAACTTGTCAGCTTTTGGCAAGTATTTTATTTTTGCACAGCTTTGCAATAGACACATTGTTGTTTGTGTCAAAAAAACTATCAAGTACTCACGAAGAGTTGTTATCACGCTATCCTGAAGAACAAAATTCATACAGAACGTTTGCACCATCCATCATATCATTTTGATAATAACTTGTTTTTTTAAATTTAATTAGGATTCAAGAATAGATGCATCGAAAATTCGACTTAAACGAATGGAGGTTTGAAATATCTTTATATTCTATATCGATTTATATTGATGTTTTTCTTTCTAGATGCGAAAGTCAATGGCTTCATTTATAATTGATACATTAGGTAAAGACAAATATTTAATAGAAATTTTGTATTTAATTAATATGAATTTGCATATCTTTAGATACATTAGTACCAAATATTAAAACAGTATCAGCGTCAACTCGTAGTACATCGAGATTAATAGGTGGTCTAAGACCATTCATTTCTAGTCCTAAAACGGTTAGTATTATTTAAAGTTTTTTGGTTATGTTCAAATTCATGTTTTTCTCATATTTTAAAGATAATCAATGAAAATTGAATAAATCGGAAGTATTCTAGTCTATGATGATATCTATATGAAGTAGTTGAATATCATGTAATAATTTTTTATATAGAAACATCCAATTTCCTCAAAATTATTATTAATTAATATGGAAAATAAAAATAACTCAAATTCATCATGACATACTCAACATGTTTTAAGTGAAATATCAAGTACATAAAAAATACAGCTGACCTCGTTTCTTCTAACTCCTTTGTATTTCGATTCGATATATAATTCAATTTTCTTTCTTTGATAATTTAACATATTCTAAACCTATTTGTTTATATTATAATATTTTTTTCATAAAACTTCATTTTTCCTTAGGAAAGTGCAGCAGTCGATACTATGGTATCAACTACTCCGAATGAGGTATATCACTTTCAAAAAAAAAATGTTAATTTTTAAAATGAAATTTTTCCAGATCGACACCTCACCAACAAATGTAGTTTCAACGTCAACATTTCCATGCCAAGCAATTGTCTTATACGATTTTGAAGGAGCAAATGAAGATGAAATGTCTGTACGAAAGGATGAAAAAATATTCATTGAATCGAAACCCGAATATGAAGGTTGGCTCGTTGCTAAAGGACGTGATAGATCCGGTCTTGTACCTGAAGCTTATGTCCAACTTATATCATCGACTGTAATTCCATTGGAACAAGGTTTGTCTTTAATATTCTTTTCAATATTTATCTTTTATCTTTTTTCTAGGATCATCAAAAATGCCTGCCATGGGAACTGTAGTAGAGAAACCACTTCGAAAGAAGAAAACAGAAACGAATAATACGAACGCGATAAGCTCATCACCATCGAAAGTAGACGATGACGCCGAATATTTTTCTGACGATTAACTTTATTCTTTTGTGCTTTTCGTTTTTTTTTTCTGCCCTATCTCGTCCGTTCGGCGTGTGAACAATGCATGAAAAAGCAAACAATAAAATGATTTTTTTCTGCTCTTGATAATAGTCACGTAATCAATATACATATCTATATAAATGATGAAGATAATATGAGACACAAGCATAGAAAAAAAAAAACGATATAGATTACAGATTAAGTTGAATTTAAAAGAAAGATGAACGGACAATCATGCGATCTATCACATAAATCATTGCCACAAGGTGTACCATTTCATGATTATAAACCACCGAATTGGGATGAATTTTTTATGCTTAAAGTTTATTTAACAGGTTAGATGAAAATAATAATTAATTTAGAAAAAAAAATTGTTTCGATGTTTCTAGCACTAAAATCGAAAGATCCTCGAACAAAAATAGGTGCAGTACTTGTACGTGATCGACGAGATCTTATATCAGGATATAATGGAATACCTGAAGGTGAATATATGCGATGAAAATACATGCGATTTATTTTTATAATGCTTTTTTTTTGTGTGCAATAGGAGTGCAAGATTTACGTAGTCGATTTGAACGACCTACTAAATATATGTTTTTTGAACATGCAGAACGTAATGCAATTTTTACAGCTGCCCGACATGGAATACGAACTGAAGGAGCTACATTATACGTTCAAGCATTGCCTTGTGTAGATTGTGCTCGGTAAGTTTTTCATTTTCATTTCTATTTTAAATGAATTTAAAGGTTTTCAGTGCTATTATTCAAAGTGGAATTAAAAAAATTTATGTTCATCAACAATTTTATAAATTAAGTACAATGATTAGACGAGATAATTGGATTGGTCATGATGATATAACAATGCAAATGTTTGATGAAGCTAACGTTGAATTAGTGATGCTAGATTTACCTAATTTAAAAGTTGATGCATATTTAGATGGACTTGTTTATCATTTTGGTTGTTAATAGTAACTTCTTTTTTTTTTTGATAAAATAAATTCAATTTGAATTATATCAAAAACTAGATAGGAAATATTTTTTTTGTTGATCTCGTTTACAAAGTCATGGTGCATTTTTGTTGTCATTGTAACCAATTATTGGAATTGTTCTGAAAGTAATACTACGGAATTCAAATGACAGAAATCTGTCATTATCAGAATAAAAAGAAATATTTCATATTCAAAGTGTAAATGTCTACGACGTTTAATGCACTTTATAAATATATAATTAAAATGATAACGATCATGGAGACTTAAAAGAAAAACTTGTCAGCACAACCCACATGTGTTCGTTAGTGTTAATATACTTATACAAAATACATATCATGAAAAGTCTCTAACAGACACTAATTGTTTTTCAAGGATAATCAATTGCCTTGTTGCTATTTGTTCGTTATTTATCGTTTGTCATATTGTATTTGTCATAATTTAACATTGCTGTATATGTGATCTCAACGCACTATTCTATATCTTGATAAGCTTACCAATACTGATATTAATTATTTTTGAAAGTAATAATTTGATCAATAAACGCTTTTTATGTTGTTCATGTGGCAAACCAATACATTTACTATTCATTATCGTTGACATCGTGAATATTTGTGTAGAAATCAGGAAGTACACCATTTAGAATTTTCACAAGCAATTTCTAACTATTCAAATATCAATGAAAGCTTTGAAATGTTGTTATAGAACAGTGTTAATCTTGTTGTTAATGGCATTTAATGCCTTTTTGTCCATTGCTAAGATGTGTAGTAACAAGGGAAAGCTGCAAAACTTAAGCTTGAAGTTTACACTCACGTTTTCCTTCGAAAACGTAAATCAGTTTCACAAAACATCGTTACTTCTGCAGGCGTAGGAATGTTTTATCCGAGTTTCAATCAATCGGATATATTAGTAGCTAAGAACGTAACTAATAACGGCAGCACTTATAAATTATCAACGAGAGTAAATCGGTGACAAAGTAAAAATAAAAATAAAAATAAAGTGTTATTAATCTATTTTCAAGAAATAGAATCACTCTAGTCGTTGTTTGAGTTATAATAGAGAAAGTTGTTTTCATTGAATGAAAGAAGAAAAAGAAAAAATACCATCTCTAGGAAATAAGTATACTTCTATAATATGAAATTTGTTTGTCGTCATATTAAGAATGAAGATGTTTAATCAAACAGATGTGTCGGAATAATAATGAAAAAAATGAAGAATCAATATTAACCTATTATAGAAAAATAATATTTTGGAACAAAGTATTTTAAGATGATTTCCTATGTTAACTGTGTTTTATTTGTTTAATAAATTTTATACAAAAATAAAAATAATGTATTATTATTTTGTTGAGTCTATTTTTATGCATGTGCAACTATGTCACCACTAGTTTCACCTGGAATGGGGAACGTTGGAAGAGAATTTGCTTCTGCGACAGCTGCTTTTTCGTCTCTTAAAGCACGACTTTGTAATTTAGCTAAAATAGGATTATTTAATGTTGAATTAAATGTTCCACGAAGAACGGTATCTTGTAAAAGTGGTGATAACTAAAAATAAAGAAAAATATAAGACAATTTCGAGTATTTATTTTATTTTTTTTTTTCATATCTTACTTCATAATCAGCAGGACCGGGCATTTTGGGAAAATCTTGATGGAACCGTGAAGAACGTACAGGTGCATAACCATGTGTACGTGAAGTAATAAAACCATCATATGCACCTGGTCCAGGTGTATCACTTGATATTTCACCAGCAAATGTTCGTTTGGCAGCACTTAAAAATTGACTGTGCCGTTGACGAGCATTTTTTGAACGTGGTGATTTTCGATGTTGAGATATTAATGCATCATAAGCACGTGGAACATCATATGCTGTTGGACCAGGCAAATCCTTTGAAAGGAAGAAAAAGAAAAAATATAATGCAGAAAAACCAATAACATAAATTATTTACTTCAATAAGAAGTTCTCTCGCAGTACTGGAAATAAAATTGGCTGATGGTTGTTCAATTTTTGGTTTATATACTTGACTTTTAATATCATAACTATTGGGACCTTTTATTTTTGATAAACATTATTATGATAATTAGAAAAAAAAGAGATTCTACCTGGTGTATTATAATCGTCTTTACGAGTTATAGTTAATTTACGGATGGAAGTTACATTAAATGGTGGTTTTTTTCCACCTTCAACAACAGCTCGTCGTAAGTTTTCATCAGCAAAACCAGGTAAACGATATTGGCCAGGACCTGGTGCACTTGACGATTTGTAATCAAATGAAGCAAATCGAACTGCTGTTTGATTAAATGGTGTTCGTTTAAGACTTGTTGGTTTTGTTAGACTAGCATTAAATGCTGTTAAGACTTTATCATCATAACTTGCAGGACCAGGTACTTCAGATCCAAAACTATCAAAACGCTATACAAAAATAAACAATTAAATTTTGATTTTATTTCGATTAAAAATGTTTGTTTGTTTTGAAATTTACTTTTGTTTGTGAACCAAATGGTGGTCGTTCAAATTCAATACCTGTTATTTCAGTATTTGATGTTTGAGGATCAAGATCACGTTTTATTGAATATTGACCAGGTCCAGGAAGACTCTAGATATTAAATAAATTCGAACAAAGAAAAGTTTCTGTTTATTTTTATTGTTCTTTATAATTTACTTCTTTAGTAACTGTTTTAAGCATAACATCAGGATATCGTGGTACTTGTAATTCTGGTCGTCTTTCCAATGTTTTCATATTCATATGTTGAACTTCAAGTTTAATTGAATCAATTGGATCATATTCACCTGGACCGGGACCTGATTTTCCGGAAAAATCTGTACGTTTACTTGAATATTTACCAAAATGAACACCATGATAAAGTCTAGATGAATCATTATCTACCTAAATGTTTTTTCTTTCTCATATAAAAACAAAATCAAATCATAAAAGAAACATACAGATACTGATGCATTATAAAAAGCAGGACCTAAACTTGCATCTCGATCAGGTGGATGTTGTGGAATAAGTTTCCCTACGTTATCTTCTTCAAAACCATAAGCATATTTTGGATCAGGAATTGAAGGCGGCAATGATTTACGATTATAGTTAAATGTATATTGACGTTGATGCTATTTATGTAGAAGACAAACACAAAAACAACGTAAATTATCAATGTCGCATATTATTAAAAAAATTATGTTAATGATGACTTGCTTTGACAGTATCAGCAACATTTGAACGAGGTGATTGACTCTTATTGAAATCATAAGTACCAGGTCCTAAGAAAATTTTTATTAATTTTGTTTATGCTAATAGAATATACCTGGTGTTTCATCGATAAGCTTCTGATCAAAACGACTTGCTCTATTGGCTATGGTACATCCTCCCTCAAAGAAAAGAATTTATTTAATATATTTATTGATAGAATAATAATAATAGTAAAGAAAAAGCAAGAAGTAGCTAAATCAATCATCTGATAATTGTCACCTGAGATTGTTTATTGAATAAAATCCTGAATTAGAAAAAAAAAAAAAAAAAAAAAAAAGAAAGATCAATGGTTAGTTTCTTATTTTGTAAATATTACACATAACATCGCCCACGGTAGTTCACCTATTTGGTTCTTTTGAACAGATTTATACAATTTACGCTATTATCTTAGACTCATACGCACGAATGTGTTTGCATGAAATCATCACCATTAATAAACAAACTATGAGCATCAAGGAATAGTCGATGTCAGGCAACATAGATTTAAAGAAAAGGTATTTTCATTATATCATGCTTTCTTCAATAGTATATTCATTAATATTCCCACCATTTTAAAACTGCTTTGACATGAAAAATAGGAAAAAAGTAGTAAAAATGCATGAAAATTTCTCTTGAGTATATATAAATGGTTGCGTGTAAAGAATTATCAATATGACTAAAAAAAAAAATTAATAGATATCATTATGGTAGACTCATATATTGAAAAAAAATGATTATATTTATTATTTGATTAATGATTGTACGTGTTGCGATTTATAAGTTTTATGCGTTAAAAGAGTTTCTTTTTTTTGTTTTTGCTAATGCATTTAATCCAGTTTTTAAAGGAAGAAAGTATAGTAGATCAAACGATGCAGAAAATTATTCGCTCTATTTAACAATTTAAGCATTTAGGGTCTTTTAGTTCACCTTTGTATGAGAAAAGGTAGTTGAGAAAAAAAAAGAAATTCTATGCGGATGTATCCCTGGATGCCAGCTTTAATGATTAATCGGTGCATTCTAATGATTAATTACAAATCATCCTCCTCCAATGAATATGCAGGAATAAACAGATCATGTTTTCTCTCTCTCTTTTTGTCTCTGTCTTTCTCTCTCCCTGTCTCTGTCTTTCTCTCTCTTTTCGTCTGTCTCTGTCTCTGCCTCTCTCTCTCTCTTTTTCTTCCTTTTTTCACTCTTTTGCTTTTTTTTTATAAGACGGAAATTTGAAGAAACAACTCACTCATATTCTTCTTTCACAACATTCCTTATTGTCAGTGCCGTAAATACGCAAAACATATACAATTCTGGTCTATTCTATAATATTTGCAATTAATAACAATGTTTAAAACAATAATTATAATTCAGTATATGTTGATCTTTCTTGTTAAATTAAACCATGGAAAATCACATCAAATTGAGGAATCATCATCTTCTCCAACGGCTATCTTTATCAAACCAAAAGCAAATGTTATGCGTCATCTTAATCCATTGAAACTTTTATTTGCTGTGGCTCATATTCCACAAAGTTCAAGTTATTCCATTGAATGGAATTTACCACTTCTAAAAACCATGTTACTTGAAAGTTCATATGTTACAGATGAAGATAAAGTTTACTTTATAACGGAATTTATTAATCATGCTGATGATTATGCTAACTGGTCAGACGAGAAACGATATGAATTAGAACGATTTACTGAAAAATATTTCAATATTTACAAATCACCAGATATGTTTTTACCATTTGTTGATTGTCCGGCGTTAACTTATGGTCTTATGGATGAAATGATTAATGATCTTCAACCAAATCTTGATGACCACAAACGAGCAGGAATACGTGCAAAAGCTGTCGGACGTTTATGCGAGTCAAAATAAAGTTCTTTTATTTATAAATAAAACATCCATTATAATGGTATGTGAAAGAGTATTTTACGCATTCATAAAGAACCAAATTTACATTTATTGCATATCTATTCATCGTAACTATAAGCTTTCTTTTTTTATTTAAGATTTGAAATGAAATAAATAAAACATCAAGACAGTTATTTTCATTTAAAAAAAAGAAAATTAACTAATACCATGAATTGATGTTGTTTGATTCACAAAGAAAAGAATATAATTATCAAACTATTCTTTTGTTTTTTCTTGCATAGACATTAATCCTCAAATAAATATAATGATCATCGTTATTTAACGATGAATAAGTTTTTTTCTATAATTAGAATGTTTATTAGAAAAACAAATCTTTCTAAAACGAGTAAAACTATTCATTTTCAAGTTTCTCGTTTTCTTTGTCAGAAAGCTTTAAAAAAGCATTCATAAGTTATTCTATCTTACTTTTATTATTGGTGACGGACCATTTCGAATATTATAATAACCCGGACCAGGCTTGTCATCACTGGGAAATATATCACCACGACTGGAAAGTGATAAAAATGGTGCATAGCTTTCTATTTAGATTTTACATGAATCAAAAGATTAGTTTTGTCAATGATATAAAAAAACAAACCTTCAGAAATTTTTTTCCTTCGATGATCATAGGCACCCGGTCCAATATGATCTGGCGTACAACCAATCTTAAGATGAAGTGAACGTGGTGCTCGATCATACATCTAGGTATTAATTCAGTTGACTTTTAGCTTTTGAGCTCAACAATATTGAGATATTACAACAATTGGAATAATCATCAAAAATATTAATATCCAAATTTGCGTAGTCTATTCGATATGAGAATGATTTCAAATCCATAGTATGCTTACGTCAAATGCATAAAAATTCTATTTTTCTTATTATGTGAAAAACATTTGTCATCATAGTTCAATTGGTTTATATTCAAATACATACATTACAAAACAGATTTTTTATTCCCATGACGTCATAAACAACTTTCACAGCTTAGAATTTCGAAATAATGTAATGTTCTGTTTACAAATTTATTAACTAATTTCAAAAGAAGTAAAAAATTCATTTTTACAAAACGTTTTTTTACGTTACTATTCTACATTATTAAATATTTGCAGTAGAAACATCTGAATCAAGAAAAAAATGCTTTATAGAATAAGATCCATTATGATAAAAATGAACTGATGAATAAATGATCTTTGAGAATATCTCAATGATAATACATACATTATAAAGAACATTTTAATTCAAGTACACTTCTAACAATACTAACTGAGAAAAGACACTTTCGACAGTACATGCTAATGTTTTTATTTTTCCCATAGTTATCTGTCAACTATCAAAATTAATTTTTTTTATTGTTGATTAACTATAATTAGCAATTAATTTAGATTAATTCCTTGGAAAGTTGTTATTTTTATTTTTCTTCACTTAGCTTTATGTAGTCTTAAATATGCATCATATTCCCTATTGGTGGATTTATTCGACATAACGACTTTTTTTTCTTTTGCTACCAATTATAGTAAAAGAAACTAAGCACATACTCCATTCTTTTCGTCATACGATACTTAAAAAAGAAGTTTAAAGTGTTTTTTTCTTTTATATAAATAAATGTAACGTTAGATTCTTCATAGAATTTATTTCCTGAAAGAAAAACTTGAATCAATTTTTTGAACTCATAGTGTAAAAGTTCTCCATTAATTTAGTTTCTACTATAACGTGAAAACAACTCAGCATAGAAACTCAAATAGTTTTCTTGTTCGGAAGTGTACAGCCACGAGCACAAAACTGTGTAAAAATATCTCGTTCTAAGATAATTACCGAAGACTGCACACAAAATCAATAAGTGCATTTTATTGATCTGTCTTGTACATGGCTTTCAACATTTTTCAAAACATTATGTATGAGTGTAACCTATGTGACGCGAACTTTCTAGCAGTATCAAAATATTCGAATTACAAAACTACAAGTTCCATAAGAAACAGTTCCTCAAAAACCTTGATCCTTCCTCTATAGCACACAATGAAAATTTTTCCATAATGTCAAATATTCCTGTTTTGTAGAATGTACTTTTGTAGAGAATACATTAAACTGTAATTTGACATAAGATATAGGGTTTTGTCAAAAGAAAACGATAGACTTCAACATGTATTAAATGCTGTAACTCAACAACTTCTTAAGATTTCATAAGATGTTATGGGACTTCAATAGACATCATAAGGCTTCAAGACTGGAGTCTCTGCTCTTTCACCCTCCAATTTCATTAATTTCGCTCGCTGAAGAAAACTTATTTTTCGAAATCATGTATAAGCTGTAAACATCGTTCGCTAGCAAAAGACTGTTAGAAAAATATCGATTTCGAATTCAACAGACAATTTAAAAATTTTATTTTTACCTGTTTACAATCTCCTGTCGTCGTACTACAACAACCGAAAGGAGATAGAAAATAAGACTAACTTTCTTAGTGAAAGTTCTTCTCTAAATTCCTGAAGCATGGAGAAAGCTTTTTCAGTCAAACATGTTCTTAAGACTTTTAAGACTTCGATAAGTACTTTAAATGAAATATTATTTCACAGCTTTGTATTAGAGACTTCTACTCTTTTAAACAAGAAAACTATCCAATTTCAACGTCGAGCTGTCGTCACGCTATATTGAAAATAAAACTAATGCTGAACTTTTGCACTCTACGTTAGTTCCATAATAATATAAATCGTTAATACTCTTAACATGAAACAATTAGATTTACTTTTATCAAACTTTCATTAAAAAAATCACCGGATAATTTCACTTTATAAGCTTCAATTTTTTTCTATTAACAAACATTTTCAATCTACAAATTCATTTTTCTAAATCATCGAACTTTTTTGTTCATATCAACATCGCATATGATTAACCATTCCTTTTTGTTTAACCGCGCAATAATTACCATTCTTCATACAATTATTCTACCTATGTGTATAGTTTGGCCTTATTTGACTTGTGTACCTTCAGCATGAGATATCTATTTCTTATTAATGCTGTATATTGTGAAATCTTCGGTACTTATCAAAGTAAATGTTTAATGAAGTAAAATAATATTTGTTTTTTCAACAAAAAACTTATATATCAAAAAATGACATGATATTAATTTCCAAAAAATAATTTTCTCTTCAAATAAATTCATGAAATTTTGCTCATATTTTTTTAAAATAACTATTATCTAAAAATGCTGTACTTACATTGTTATAATCTCACCATAAAAACCTATTGTTTCGAACAATCAGAATTTCTTTCGTCCATTATAATTGTACTTTGAAATAAATTGCCATAACAACACATTTATTTATTTCTAATGCATTCATAACTTAAATAAAACTTGACATATCCATTTTTATTGGATAATCAACAAGTCAATCGAACGTACTCTCATTATCTGTTCCATTCCATTCGTTGCCTTATGTACCCTGTACTTCATACCTCTGTTCTTTCTTTTCTTCGCTCTTCTTATTTTTGCATTTTGTATCTTAAACAATATCTAGGTGCTTTAATATGTTCTATTTTTCGTCTTCATCATTATTCAAAAGATGCATTTGAAATTCCAGATAAACAATCTTAAATATGCACTGAAAGAAAACACGTATAATACAAAACAAACTATTAATTCTTTGTTATTTTTGACAAAAAATATTTCATTTAACCATGTCGATTCATCATGATGAGGAACCATTATTCTCAATCGAAATAGGTGAACATCGATATCCATTAAGTGATAGTCAAGAAACATTAAATAATGACAATAATTCAACAGTAATCGATAATGATGATGATAATCGATTTGTTGTTAATGACACAGGTGCTGATTCATCACAAGCAAGGTAAAAAAAACAAGAAAATAAAGAATAAAATATGTTTTGTAAACAATATGAAATATTTTTAGTGAAGTTGAAACAGTTCAAATAACAGAAAATACTGTTAATCCACAAGGTGAAAGAGTTTCACCACATGACTTTCAATTATTGAAAGTATTAGGTAAAGGCGGTTATGGAAAAGTAAGAAAGAATATTTGTCATGAAAAATTCAATATTACGCCATGATTTTTTTCTATTGAGGTTTTTCAAGTAAGAAAAATGTCTGGTAGTCATCAAAGTGAAATATTTGCTATGAAAGTTCTTAAAAAAGCCACGTATGTTTTATTATTCTTTTATTTATTAGATTTCTTTTGTTTTCTTTTTTTTAAAAAGAATTGTTCGAAATGCAAAAGATACTGCGCACACAAAAGCTGAAAGAAATATTCTTGAATGTGTGAAAGTAAATAATTCAATTTTTTGTCTCAGTATCTTATTTTTATGAAACACGATCTAAGAAACAAATACAAAAGCAACTCAAGTAGTTTACTATCGAGATGAATACCGAACAGCATATGTTTATATTTAATATTCTATTTAAAAACATCCATGATAAGGAAATAGCAAAGTAGAAAAATCGTAAAAAGATTAACGAGAAAAGATCATTTGCTTATTCCAACTAACATAGAAGAAGTCTCTAGGAGATTGCCAAGACTTATTTCATTTTGATCAACTAGCAATTGGACTAAACTAGTTCGTTGTTGAAGCGCAACCTGGTTTTTATTTTTGTGCTTCTTTTCAGCCATTAATATTTGTTGACAGATAACAACTTCTTTCTTCTGACAAGCAAATACATGATTGACATGAAGCTAATTAAGTGGTAATAGAGAGCAGGAGGATATCTTTCGAAATTTTAACTGTTGAAAATCCTATTTTTTGAGTTTTTATTTTTACAATATTTTCAAGTGCGAGAATTTTCTTTTGACAATAATTCAAAGTTTCGACATTCGTCAGACCATGACAAATCCTAGGAAAACACTATTATAGACAAGCAGTGTTCGAACTTTGAAAAAGTGAATTTTCAAGCATTTGTGTAACACTTTCGAAAATGATGTAATTTTTGAAATGACTAAAATTTCTAAAAACTTT